CGCCTTACCGAATTCCTTGGCCTGTTTCTTCTTTTTTTTCAGATGGCAAACGATCTGAGGCCAAACTGGTTGTGAAGGTGCTCGATTTCTTCCCTCCTGCCCCCCAAGCTGGACACAGCATGGCGGCGGGAGTAGCTGCGTGGCTTCCCTTTGCTAGGGCAGCAGCTATTGGCTGGATGCCTGTAGCCAACCTGCCAATGCCAGTTGCGCCGGCAGAGAAGAGCAAACGCCAGGACGAGCTGATCATCCTTAACGTGAGCGGACGGCGATTCCAAACCTGGAAAAACACACTCGATCGATACCCGGACACCTTGTTAGGAAGCTCTGAAAAGGAGTTCTTCTACAACGAAGAGACCAAAGAGTACTTCTTTGACCGGGACCCCGATTTGTTTCGAAGTGTGCTCAACTTCTACCGCACTGGGAAACTCCATTACCCCCGCTACGAATGCATCTCCTCCTACGACGAGGAGCTGGCCTTCTTTGGAATTATTCCAGAGATTATCGGTGACTGCTGTTATGAAGAGTACAAAGACAGGAAGAGAGAGAATGCTGAGCGTCTGATGGACGATCAGGAGGACAATAAGGATGCTAAACTGCCCAACATGACCTTCAGGGAGACCATGTGGCGAGCCTTCGAGAACCCCCACACCTCCACTATGGCTCTGGTTTTCTACTATGTCACGGGGTTCTTCATTGCTATTTCTGTTATCACCAATGTGGTGGAAACAGTCCCCTGTGGCTCTTCACCAAATCAGAAGGACGTCCCCTGTGGTGAGCGCTACACTGTAGCCTTCTTCTGCATGGACACGGCCTGCGTCATGATTTTCACCGTGGAGTATCTGATGCGTCTTTTTGCGGCTCCGAGCCGCTATCGCTTCATGAGGTCAGTGATGAGCATCATTGACGTGGTGGCCATATTGCCCTACTACATCGGCCTGGTGATGACTGACAATGAAGACGTGAGCGGGGCCTTCGTCACCCTTCGGGTTTTTCGCGTTTTCAGAATTTTCAAGTTCTCGCGCCACTCGCAGGGTCTGCGTATCTTGGGCTACACATTGAAAAGCTGTGCTTCTGAGCTGGGCTTCCTGCTCTTTTCTCTCACCATGGCCATCATCATCTTCGCC